CGAGTGTGTGAGGATGTGCTTTGATTGGTTAGCATTTTGGCCAACCAGAATCAAGCATTCGAGCTCCGCATAGACCGGTGGAAAACGAGAGCCGCGGCAAGATCTGGTAGAGCCTTCGACGATATGTTGTATGAATACAGTCATATAGTAATCATTTCCCCCAACTTCGCACTAGCTGAAACAATCGGGGTTCTAGTGAGCGGCAGGATGAATTAGATTATATGTTCTTGGAAGTACTGACCAAGTTTGATTGTCTTACTGACACTAAACAACAGATAAATAGATAAACCCCTCGTTCTATGGAGCAACATGAATTCCGGAATCGAGTCAAAGTGAACAGCTACAAGAGGTAAACAAACCCTTCTGTGTGCAGAACGACGGGAGATTGACGCAAGTGTCGGACTGGAAGCAGTCAGACAGCGTGTAAGGTGCGCAAGAATGGCTTGAACACGACGTAGGCGACCAAGATTGAGCCATTCGAGCAACTGCCGCGGATGAAACTGCGGCATTATGGGATTGAATACCTGAAGTGAGAGAGAATGCACACGCCTAGGTTTAGGCAACATTTACTTTTCCAAAGTGGAGCTGAACTGTGCGAAACAGCTATCTGCATTCAAGTTTAAATTTATTCATTTAAAAGCGTTAATTGTAAGCATCTGCCAGCAACACAGCCATTGCACAGCTTTTCAACCGCGTGGATTTATTAAACTTGTAGACAGCAGTAAAACAAAAGATGAAAGGAGGCGATCTGTTGTGTAGTAAGCCTGCATATTAGAAAAACTATATAGCAGATGCCATCGAGTGTTATCTATCCGCGGAAATCTAAACGACTCGTTAAGTCATACACTAGTAAACGACAAGATCTGAAGGAGTTCATGAGGCGGCAAAAACAACCTTGATTGAGAGATAGCTGTGACGCTTCACCTGAGTGCTCAAGGTGTCCAGGAAGCTGAGTTTGTCTGTGTGAGTACAAGATTACTGAGATGTGAAACCACAGCACTGAACTCAACCGTTAAAGTATACGAAGGAAGTTACCTGAATCGATTCGAACAATCCAAGATTGGCCAAGAGCGCCGGATCGGCCGTTTCAACAGGAGACGGTTTAGCGTGTGTCGTAGTGGTCGGCCGACTAGATGCAACCTCATCTGGATGGGAAGAAGTACCGACAGTCTTTGGACTAGATGGCTTGGTCGTTGGACTCACACCCTCTGCTGAAGTGTGTGGTTTACTTGCCGGTGAGTGCAAACCGACCATGTTGGCTAGCAACGCTGCAGACGGAGAAGGCTTGAGTAGGTAAGCCGAGTAGGTCTTGGTCAGCTGAGCAACGGTCATGCTGGCCGTTCCGGCAACCGTGGCATCATCGGGTTGAGAGATGGGCGCTGCGTCGGGGTGGGAACGTTGTTCATCTGTATGGAGGTGATCAAATCGAGTGAAAAACACAAAAAGCGGTAAATTTTGCTGGTGGGAAGACCGATTTCATTACTCTTGAAGAAAAAAATTATTAAGGCAAAAATTTAGCATTCCATTTGAGAAACTAGGTGTTAGACTAATTTTAATCCTTGATTGTTACACATTACAGGACCTGCCTCCCGAAAGATTTTACTTGAACTCATAAGTATTAACGATCTACCTAATTGTCAGAAATTTCAGACCTTCCCCCCTCTGAGCTTTTCATGATCAGGATGGCAAACTCACCCAAAAGTATTTCGTTAGGCCGTCCTTTGAGCCTCCTATTATGAGCCGTGGTTAGGTGCTAACGTAAACTCAACCACCACTGGAGAGACCATTGCTTAAAAGAGTCTATTTTTGGTTGGTCCTCTGAAACACATTTCAACAGTTCCTCATAGAAAGACTAGTTTTAGATTGGCTTCCTGGTGAGGTGTTCTAAGCTAAGTACAGGGTGTCTCATAATAGACGCAAAATTTAATTGGGTAAGTAAACGTAGCCAATTGAAGAAAGGATAACAAATTTTTTCACTATCAGTAGCCACATAAAGGTGGTTGTGTATGCAAGTGTTGGCATTTTTTTGTTTACGATGGATGTCAGTATGCGCATTGAAATGGTGAAACTCTGTTATTCCCATGGTGAAAGCACCACCGCTGCACTTCGTGGNCACGTCGTGGTTACAAAACCAATCAAAGATCCTTTCACCGTGTCGACCATTACACGCTTGATTGCGAAATTTGAGTCCACTGGATCTGTATTGGATTTTCCTGGCAAAGGGGAAAGTCTCTGAGTGATAGAAGAGCGCCTATTGTGCAGAATGACGTCGAGCAACTTCACTTCCAGAGCCCCATGGCATCTTCATGAATAACTCAGGTGTCTCAGTTGACCGGCAGTCCCCGCGCCAGCGTGCATCATATTATGAGACGCCACCTTCATCTCTACCCGTATCATTTCACTTTATTACAAAACATCACAAAAGAAGGAAAGGAGCAACGTGTCACATTCTCTAACTGGCTGCTAGACAATGAAGAAATAGTTCACAACATTTTATGGAGCGATGAAGCAAATTTTTCTGTGGATGGCATAATCAACAAACAAAATTGCGTGATATGGTCCCCTGAAGCTCCTCACGAGTACCTCACCCATAATCTCCATTCACCTCATCTCTCTGTGTGGATGGGATTCTCCTCAAAGTGTCTCCTGCGTCCCTTTTTCTTTGATACTACGGTTTCCGGCGACAATTACCTCCGTATGCTGCAGACGTATGTTATCCCGCAACTCAACACAGCACAACAAGATGGCGCTCCACCCCACTACTCATACCAAGTGAGAACTTACCTCCGAGGGCAATTTTCTGATGAGAGAGTCATTGCCCGCGGATTTCTTAACCTTTGGCCCGCAAGGTCACCCGATCTCACACCTCTGGATTATTGGTTTTGGAGAATGATCAAGGCTTGCGTATATCATGAAAATAAACCGAAGAATTTGACGGAGTTAAGAGCAAGAAGTGAAGAGGAGGGTGCACGAGTGACGCCTGAAGAAGTTAAACATGCTGTGTCTCACATCTCATACCACCTTCAACTTGTTATAGAAGAAAGGGGTGGTTCCTTTCAACATCGTTTGTAATGCCAGTTTGTTCACAGTAAACCTCCATGATCTATGTATGTCCGTATAAAAAGTGATAAATCTTTGAATTGGTGTTGAAGGTTTGACATGGGTATTATTTTTTGCGTCCATTATGAGACACTGTGTACATATATGCGTCGATAAACGCATAGTTTTCACTGAGTGCAATGATAGTCCAATATGTCTCTATTACTTCGCACCGCTAACAGCGGTGCGCGTTTGTTTCTTTTGCGGAAAAACGAACATAGCAGTGTTTAAAAGGAAACACGCACAGTGTAAAGGGACCGTCCGTGGGAGAAGGCCCTCATCTGTAGGGGACGTCAAAAGACCGAGTCCTCCGTGATAAACGATAGGACTTTAAGTCGCACAGCCAACGTGCACGTATTCTATTGTTATACGCAACACAACATACAGTACTTTATATATTGCAGTCCATTTGAGCTCGTTTAAAACATGACTCACACAATCAGCGTCAAAATGGTAAAAATAAATAAGTAATAATAATAACGTTTTCATAAAGGAAACTACTCACAAGGTTGCTGAAAACTCTTCGACAGCCCACGGCCCGTGACGTTTGAAATAAAATCGCTCAGCTGTAGCAACTTTTCGGTGCCTAACTACCATGCCATCCGAAGGTCAAACGAGGGCTAAGATATTGCCAGATTGCCCAAGCCTAGACAGGTCGGGTTCCAACCACGGACCTCCCGGTCAGCAAATTTGCGCTCTAGCCACTCGGGCCATTTTACCCATTTTAGATGACTCAGAAGATGTTTGGAACAGGAGAAAACCGAATAAGACCGTGAACAATGAGTGCTTCATGCGATGTGAATGCTAAATTAGGAGAATTTAGAGGTACTCGATATTGTGTGAATAAACTCAAACTGTTTCTGTCTTCACGTCCACGGTGCCATTTGGCATGCTATTCCTCGGGATACGATCTAACTCATAAACCGGTGCTACTTGTGGACGTTTAAATTGAAAATGGAGTTACTGTTACGACAAGTAAAGCATGACGAACTAAGAAGACTAGTCAGAAGAATAGGCCTTTGTTTTAGTATGGGTTGATACCGCATCAAACTGAGCAGAAGTCATTCACGCTAGAGAATGTGCCGTAGTTCCGTCAGCTCCCGATCGCATTTAATTCCAAGGCTCTAGTTATGGTATTTTTTGGTCTGTCCATTCAGGTGGCTCCTCAGAAAGAGGACAAAATCAACTCATCCCAATCGTTCAGCTGTAGCACCCTTCCGGTGCCTAGCTACCATGCCACCCGAAGGTTGAACGAGGGTTGGGATATTGCCAGGTTGCCCAAGCCTGCACAGGGGAAGTCGAGAGACGGACCACGGGCCTTCCGGTCAGTAAATTCGCGCTCTAACCATCTCGCCTCAACCCAATCGTCTCCACAAAACACTGCCGGGTGGCTGGCTAACTTACCAGTCAACTTCTTCTGGACTGTTGGTTCTTCAGTCTGCCCCATAGTTGAGATCTCATGATGTCCAGCTTCGTTGGGCCACTGGCTATAAACCAGGATCTCGGTTGTAACTGCAATCAACAAGAGCCCGTCACGTAGCCAAATGGCCCGTTTGTGCCGTCCAGATGGAACAGGGTGTAGTGGGTCACTTTTTACGATCTGATGCTCACCGATATGAGCTGTGTAGACGCGAGTGGATGCCACCCGTTTCCAAGTTAGGTAGACCTCCCCAAGTGTGGTCATCAGAGTGGATGGGGTGTGTGGGTGAGATTGTGTAGGGTTGACTGTCTGACAGGTTGGGGCGTAGACAAGAACCTGTGAGCCGAGCATGATCGACAGAAGATGACCACCGTCCTCCGTGCTTACCCAGTCCAGCTGAACGACTGCCGGTAGCTAAGGTAGCATGGGAGACAGAGAGAGGGGAGAGATAGAGACAAACCCAACCACTACATGGGGAATAAAATTATTTTCGGTGTTCCCCATAACAAGAAACGCACAAGCTGTGCACGAATGTAGTTTGACGAGAACATGTTTCTGCGAGTATTCTAGGACAGAAAGGCGAGCGTGTAGTGAGGGTCATTGTTGTATCTTGCTGAACGGTAGTGCAACTCTGTAACGGTCCCTCGGCTTCCTGCTCCGCCTACTATGGTATATCAAAAAACACTGTAGCTCTACACAGCCCTTTATGAAGACAAAAGAAAATTATTACAACTGGTTTTATAGGGTAATCACAGAGTGCTCTACAAGGTCGTGCCAGAATCACCATGAGGGGGCGAAAAGCGTCGAGTCAAAGATTCTCGATCCGCATTGGCTGACGTTCTGACCAATCAGGGCATGCCTTCGTTTGGTCCGTGACACATCCGTCCAAATGATGTGATGTTCCGTTATTAGGGACGGCTGGCCTCCGGACAGTCATTCGAAAGAAAACCATGAAGCAGCACGCTGCATCCGATTGGCGTACACCAGTGAATACTAGTCCCCATCATTCCCAAAAATGTGGGTGTGGTCAGAGTGGTGAGTTACCGCGAAGTAGGCACCTAGGGAGACAGTGAGACGACTCACCATGATAAAACGATGCACTTACGAATATTGACTCGTCCGCAACTGTTTTCATCAGCTTGCAGCTGACGAAAAATTTCTCTTTTTTAGAGAGAACAATCTGAGTGTTCAAAACCGTAGTATACATGGAGTAGATGCTCTCTGAACATACTCACACGAACGAAAGAGATTATCCCCTTGATGGGTTGGTTCATTGAATAACTTACTGAATTTGACAGACTACTTCTAAGTTCGGATCACAAACTGTTTTCAAGGTTTATTTAAATAGAGCTCTTTCTTAGGAGCGCTATTTACCCAGCATGCTTCATCGATGCCAAATAAGGTGTCCATATCTTCCTGAAAACTGCCTGTTGCATGCATGTTAACAAATCAACTAGACGTTAAGGTCGACAGAATTCACACTTTGAACTGTACCGATTGCAATGGCATCAACAAACGAGGACAACAACGATCAATCATTACTCGCAACCGGACATTTGCACCAAGGTTGCTGACGGAAGCAATCAACCCAGCTGCGTCAGTCGAAAGAATGAGTGCAGCACCATCGGCAGTGAAGCATCGGTGTTGAACACTGATGTCATGCTGTGTATGACGGATGGCGCCAATTCGTCTGGGAGACAGGGGATGATGACAAGCACTTACCACACTAGTGTAACCGTGATACTACTGATGGAAAGGCACGCGAGTAGTATGTTATTCGTGGAATTCCGCTTTGCGTCTTTCGAAAAGGGGACATCTGCTGCAGAATTTGTGGATTCGCTTCGTAACACTTGCTTGGATTTGAGCGATGAATGATTGGAGTCAATGAATAACCAGGAAGGGTCAAGAAAACGCGTTCAGGAGAAGACGGATGTCCAGTTTCTGTAATTAAGATGTAAATGAGATTTGCTTCCCTGTCCAAAGGTCTGGAACCGGTCAGTTGGCATTTCCTGATAAATGACTCCGCAGCGAAGGCCTTCTTCCTCTCACTAGTATCATAACACTGTTCGTGTATTTAACCCCTTATTTTATTAAGAGCAAAAACATAAACCGAGACACGGTCATGTAAGCCGGATGAAGCCGCCCTATCCAATTTCTGTGTGGTTTCGACACGGTCATGCAGTTAACGACTGGTTACCGCCGCAGTAGACTCCACTGTGAAAGATATGACGAAGATTACGCTTTGTTCAGAGGGGATTTAGGACTGTGCACCGGGAACAAAACCTACATGACGCAAAAACTCTGAATGCGATCGAAACACTTTCGGTCTGAACTCCGTTCAGTTGACCATGAGTTTTGTGCAACTGTATTTCGGGAAACATTTGGTTGCAGACGACGTTGAATTTCACGTACAATATGACTTGGGAGGTAATACGTTCGTCTACACTTAGATATTCCACCGGCCAGATTCAAAACACTAGCCAGTTAGCGGTTGCTCGATCAAGCCCCAACAAACTACTCGGATGACCTTCAGTATTTGCAAACCATCCTACACACAGAGTAAACTCACCGGGGTGTTACTTACATGACAGCTGTAGCATCAGGAGGAAAACAGAACCAAACCAAATCGCGGATACTTTAAATGAGTGCTGCCTCATAAAGAACATATTCTTACTTGTTGATTTCGGTGAGAGTGTCCTTGATGGAAGTCCAAGCTCAGGTCGATCGTGTCCTCCAGGATCCATTCACATCCACCTACGAAGCCGAAGAATAAGAGCGGCGTGAGGGAAAGGCGGAAAATAAAGGAGTACTACATAGAACATTCATCTGCAAAAACGATTGTGCAGAAGGCAGAATGAGAAGCAAACAATGTTAAGTTAGCTCACGTACCACTTGATTCACATTCGTAAATGACCACTAGAATTTTCGGAATGCTCAGTCCGGACTGTGGTATAGGCACCGAGACGGCGCCTTCGGATGTCTGGGGAGAGTAAGCAACCGCAATGCGTCCACTGTAGGCACAGTCCACATCCAGGATCTTCGGAGGGTGGTGACTGTCGAGTTCGATGCAACTGGACAAAGCGTGCGCCAGTGGCATTTGCCATTCAGACCAGGTAAACGTTTCCACACCTGATGGGAGACAAGAGAGGAGAAAAACAAGACAGTCATTCGGTTCGAAAGAGGATAACACAAGAGAGGTGACACCTGAAGTCGAGTTGCAGGAGAATATAGGATATGCCAAAACCGGTCTTAAAAATTCGTCCAGTGCATAGCTGCCATGCTACCCGAAGGAGGCACGAGGGTTGGGATACTGTCAGGTTGCCCAAGCATAGACAGGGGAAGTCGAGAGGCAGAGGTCGGGTTCGAACCACGGACCTTCCAGTCAATAACTTCGCGCTCCAACCACTTGAGCCATCTCACGAAAACTGATAAACGAGTATCCTGTGTATCCGAAAAAATCAAACTACTGGGATGTCGCTCCATTTCAGTATATCGCTGAAACACAGCGATTCACAACCAACTTTTTTTCTTACTGAGCATACTTTATTAGTAAGGAGAAAAGCATGAACCACCATCAAAGCAGAGGATTAGCTCGTTTACGAGGTATATAGATCAGCTGATCTGGTAAAAACAGAATCCTGATGGTATAAACCACCAAGAAGTACGGAATACGGGCCTTACCGGGCAAGGAACCAGTCTGTTGCGCAACACACCGCCAAAAACGTAGACAGCCATCAGAGCAAGCCGATACAATGAGGTAGGGTGGAGGCGCATTGTAAGTCGACAGGGTGGCCCAACTGACGTGCGCGGCAGAAACTTCTGCTCTCGTGATGAGGACACCCGAAGGAAGTGGCAGTTCACAATCGTTCACCTTGGGAGTACAAGAGAGAAGCGGAGGATAACGGACTGCTTACAACGAGCATGCGCATGGAATGGAGAAAATGGCGGCAAATGAATTCAAATCGATTTATATGCCAAGGCGGTTTCAGTAAATATCGATCACAACACCCACAGCTGACAGCGTCGTTCTGTGAGATCTCGAGTGCGATCTACGATTGCTCTTCACCAAGCTTCCATGTGAGTTCAGAACCCAACTTTGCACCACGAGTGAATAAATAGATAGAGGCAAGTAGAATGAGCTTCCCACTCTTTGAGTGAAACATCGTGTGAAGCCATATTATGGATCGCGTGATTGGGCATCTTGATGTGTCATCGACTCGGATCGGATTTAGAGTTGTTGACCTAGAATTTACTGGAAGTGATCAGCCCAAAGCCTTCCGCCTTCATTGAGTCGTACCAGGTTACTGTAAGACAATAGAGCACATAAATACCTGCACAGAATTTTCAAGTGCTTGGTCTTGGGGCCATCTATCCGGCAATCACGCGCGTACAAACAGTCAAGTCGAAAACGAAGATGTGGATTGTGTTAACCAGCAAGTAACTTCGGGGAAGTTGGGTTAATATAAAACGCCGCTTCATAAATGATCATTTCGGTTAAGTCTTTTTCGATGAATGAAGTTCGAACAGTTAAGGAAGTATGTAGGCTGGTTCAAGAACGATTTCCTGATAGATTGTTTGAAAGCCAACTGGAGAGTGGATCTTGAAAAAAAAGGACATTATACAAACGGAAGGGCTGACGCCAGTAAGTGAGAATCAAACCAGTGTTCTCAGCTCGCTGAACTGCCAAAGATGCCACCTCGCAACATGCATGCACGTGGATGCGACGTTCATCCATTCCAAATGGATGGGCAGCTGATGTTCTGCAGTACTCATTGTGTGGTTCTCTCTGCCAAAGCTGATCTTCGCTCAATTGGCAGAGCAGCAAGGGAACAATGGCACCTTTCGTCGTTTAAATCAGCTACCCATGTGAGGAGTGCTTGTGAACTCAGGTGGCAATAGGAACTCAAGGACAAGCCAAAGAGACCCGCAGAGAGGCCATATTCAATTGCCTTCCAACTTACTTGTCATCTAGCACTGAATGGCAACTTGTGGAATATGACTTTCAATTCAGTCGTATCCGCAACAAACACTGATTTGTTTATCCGACAAGTGCCCTGAGTTGACGTCAGCTTTAGGCAATTAGTGGCAAACTGCGCCACTCATTGTGGAAAAGTCGATGCTCATTGAAGTGCACGGGTAGTGGATGCAGTACAACTACTTTATGACTGAAAGAACTAGCAACTGCAATGCCGAGAATTGAAACGTCTTCACATATTCAAAAACCATGGAAGTGTCGAATATCGTGATACCTCTGTACAGATTCATCCACACAAGTGACTGCGATTTACTAGAAAATGATTGAACCATGTTTCATGCCAAACTTAGTTAAGCGAAAGCTCATGTTAGGCAGGTTGCAAAGGGGGGCGCGGGCAAAATTGAAGCAGCTGTAGAAAAACCGAATGCCAGGACATTATCACGCTTTGTGAACGTGGACCACGGTCATTTTGCCTGTGTATAGGAACCGTGCAAGGCAAGACATATACCATGGCTGGATAACGCTGCCACTTTTTGGCAGAGCTTGCGCGCATCATGTGAAAAATGCTTCAACATGACAGAGAGAGAGAGGGAGCTGAGCGTAAAACTACTGATCGGAAGATTCGCGGTCCTAGTCCATCTCATCTCGTCAGTATATCAGCCCTCGAACTTGTTTCAAGGCGTACAGCTGTCATGCACCAAAAGGGCGCCACAGCTGGACGACAAAATGCGACAGACCGCCAGATGAACACAACGCGATGTGTAAGTTAGGTCATTCTATACAGCTGACCACCACTATCGTATGTAAGTTCCATAAATGCACCGAAAAAAGGAAAGTGAAAAACTCGGAGATAAGGCATGCGCGTACATCTATGTCATAACCCAGGATAATGAAATAGCAAACTTACCTTCTCTACATTACACAGCAAATCGTCAAAAGCAGACAAACGGAGAGGAGCCAGAGATTCCGGAAGTGGCAGAGAAGGACTGACTTCTGTAGTCACACGAACGCGCCACATTTCCAGTCTGGTCTGTAAAATTTGGGCAAGTGATTAAAGCGTCCAGAGGAAAATTCTGTCGTTAGTGGAGGAAACAAATGTGGTGATTTCAACAGCGAAAAACGGAGTTTTTAGGGACGCGCAACGCTCGTGTATTTACAGGTTCTCAGATGTGAACCAAGTCCCATATCACCATCCCACTGCAAGGATCACAGGCCAAACCATCTGAAACGGCGATACAGTCAGTCATTCGGAGCGTTTTTTAATTGGCCATTGGACCACCGTTCGTGCATCTGTCACACACCAAACGAATATGTATCAGGAACTGCCATCAACAAGATGATGTATCTCTGAGACGTAAAAGGCAAGGTAACTTTTCAAAAAAATGTACCGTTCCCAAGGCAAAGGATATTGGGAAGACAACAAAAGCGGGACCGTTAAATTAGTCACAGGAACACTAGATCCGTGGAAAACTCTTCAAGGGAAGCACAAGATGGAATGTTGTTAGCTAACAAATGTCTGAATCACAAACAAACACATACACTCAGGTCACCCGTACGGAAAGTACGGGGTCGATGGTTTCAGACCGCCGGATGTCTTCTCGTCCGTTTGAAATTGTTTCCGTTTCGTGCCTCAATCAGGACAAAAAGGTTGGGTGCGGATTTTATGAGTGGCATTCCGCCTCCAATTCACCCTACGTTGGATCCAACTTTCCTGCTATACTCCAACGAAAAAAAGCAAAGTGCTGCTGTACGAAAGCAATGATATTGAAGCATCCGCAACACGGATCGACTAGAAACAAATATGAACTGGGTTTGTATGCTTTCTTTTCAAACCTTACGATAGATGCAAACAATTTGAAAACCGTAGTCAGTCAGTTCATCGGCTATAAACCATATACTTTTTTTCCAAAGGGCGATCAAGGTTTACATTTCATTCGCCCCGTATGCATCATCTCCACCGGTTGTGTTGCAGGAGGCCAGCTGAACTGCTCTTCGAAGTGTTCAGCCCATCTCCCCAGTCGACGCTTTTGCGAGTGAATTAATGAGCCATCGTTTTCACTTATCGTTTCGCTGACCGTTGCCTTCCTAGGGCCAGTCAATCGTATCAGTTGATAAAGGGCACGGCTGTTTCCCGTAGCAAAAGCCTTCTCCATCTCCCGAGCTTTCGATATCCACCAAAGCTCTCGGTCTTTCCTTAGACTCTTCACTATTTGGCGTTTGAGGGATTTGCGTGCGCCGTCGTACTCATTGCCTGCTGGTATGGCTTTCCTGGCACCAATCATGGATAACGACCTCGACGACATCCAGTGGTCTTGGGGTCGAATTGGAGAAGTCGGGCAGGCAGCACTGAACGCCACTAGCATAGCTCCTTTCACATTTTGCCATGCTTCATTCACATACTCACTGCCACCACAGTATTGTTTTACTGTGGAGAGTTGTTGGGCTAGCTCAGATCGATACTGTTGGGCTATGGCAGTTCTTCGAAGATAGTGGATTGGCATGCTTCTTGCCGACTTGCGAGGGCCTGAAGGGAAACGAACTGTCAGGAGTGTGCGCACAATGGCATAATCAGAATCAAGTGGTGTGCCCCAGAAGGAACGGCAGTCTTGAATTGTGGCTCTCCACCGGTGGCTGATGGCCGCGTGGTCCAACTGGGTGCACGGTTGATTTGTAGTTGGCAGCCGCCATATACTTAGGTTACTCGGATTCCAGGTGCTACAGTTTCGGTTACTGGAATGTGGGAGAATGCGGAAGACACAGCCAAGCATTTGGGGGCATGATGAGTTAGTTCGGGCAATCGGACAGCTACATGTTGAACGCGACAGCTTCGGTGAGCGGGCGCAACTCCAAAAGTACGTATTCGAATTTCCAGGCCTAGCTTCATTCCACTTGCATTAGTTGAGTGCTCAGGCCTTTCATAGAGGCACCGCTGATGATGCGTGTTCACCAAACGTTGATCAGACAGCCTGGATCAATGTCAGCGTGCCAACTAAATAGCGCGACGCCCCTTGAAGCTCTTCCAATCGCTTGTTTTCAATATAGCGGTTGTATTCCTTGTTAGCGAGTCTTTTTTCCGACACTATAGCACCGGATCGGGGACAGCAATTGAATACAACAGTATGGCGTGAGTAACTCATTGTCGCGACTATGAATTCATTCGTACGACCGGTCCAGCTCAATGAAAATCAGTCATTTTGACTATCCGACCTCCATAGTGTGTCACGTGGTACCCCGATCGTTCGAGCTATCTGAAACCAACACTGGATGCGAGGTTGCTTCTGGTTCGTCATGGACATCAAACAACATGAAATAAGAACTCGGCCAGGAAAAGCCGATTACGTTCATAAGTTAAGGACAGTCTTTTCTACTGTCTGCTAATTCTAGTTGAACAGTCTTACAATCGAATAGATCATCACGTGACCTGTGCGCGCCTTAACCAAAGTCTGTTCTACAGGTATTTCACGTGACTCATTCAGACTGACCACTCAATTATCAGCTGATCAGCAACAGAATCGGTGTCTTAGTGTCATAAAATCCCGTGATTGGCTTCATGAGTCGTCTAGAGCAATCCACCAAAGACAATCCGAAAGATATACATGTTCGAGGAGCATTCACTCAGACAATATCGCCTCGCAAACGAGCCATCACTATTCGGAAACGTTTCCACAGTTTATTGTAACCAGTCCCTGTGAGTGGATGAATGGGCGTCAAAAAACTCCGTGGTGACGCCTTCACGATTTCCACGAACCATGAAAAATGGAGTATTTTGCCTTCTCAGGGGAGTTATGTTCGTGCGTTGCGTGTCCAATTTTTCAGACGTGTGACTCGCCTTTATAACTTTATTCGTCTATGGAGTTCAACAGCGCAAAAGTCATAGAAAACGGGATAGAACATGATATCAACATTGAGAAGTATCGTAGGAATATGCCCAGTCAGAAGCACAGAATCGATAGGGCAAACAAATCAGTCCTCGACTTACCCGTGGACAATAATCAACCAATTCACTGCGGTCTTCCGTCGTACGACGCCAACCAGTCAGACGGACAATCAAGTAGGTGGTGTGCGACGAATGGGCAGTGAGTGGTCCCAAAGAAGCGGTTCTTTGTAAGTCGATCCGAGGAACGAGTTCGCTGGGGAACACGTGCAGCAGAAGCGTCTGCGGAGCGAATGACTACAAGGAAACATACGGGAAATCAAGGGACTTACTATGCATATTACCAATCTGAGCGTAGAAAGAAGACACAGCAAATCGGAAAGACCAGTTATACGGTAGTGTCCTTGTCAAAAAATACTGTAACGGAGCACAGCGATCTCTCTCGAAAAGAGGAAACTCTGTGGCCTCAGTTTGGCACGGATGAACGGCTGCTAATTTTTACAAAGCCTATCAGTTTGAATCGAAGCTATCAAGATTCGTCCAATAACCAATGGAGATCAGAATAGAACGAAGGCTACAAACCCCACACAGCTCCGTTGTTTCGGTTTTCAGTGGTCTGCTTGCATGATGACATTCTTGGAACACGCTTAATACGAACCGGCATAGAACTGGCAGCGCACTGTTCCTGCAGCCTAATAGAAAATACTTGTTAGTATCTTCTCAGGGCTGTGGAAAAAAAATTTGCCCCACTCATAAGGTTGCTGAAAATTTGTCGACAGCCTACGACCGGTTTCGCCCTACTTGGGGCTCATCAAGTAGGCGCAGTCCCCGAGTATCCGTCATCCTCATGTTCTACTTGAACCCAAATTGGACTATTTTCGAGAAATGCACTCATTTGCAAATTAATTTGGTTATGTGAAATCTACCGCTAATTTGTGGTACCGCAGGCCAAAAGCCGCCGTAGGGAGCTGAATGATCACAACGGAGTACAATCTTTACATTCAAACTGACACTGATTGAACGATGGACTGAGTGATGCACCGAGATTGCGAAACGGGATCAACATCGATGACCCGTGTTGAAGTAATGGAGAACGCAGAGTTTGAATACTGTGGCTTCACAAACTGCTGACACATAAAGTCCACACTTAAAATCTCGAAAACAGTCCAATTTGGGTTCAAGTAGAACATGAGGTTGACGGAAACTCGGGGACTGTGCTTACCTGATGAGCCCGAACTATAAGGGCGAAACTGGTCGTGGGCTATCGAAGAGTTTTCAGCAACCTTGTGAGTAGTTTCCTCTATCAAAAAAATTGAACATACTTGTTACTATTGGTGTTTGATCAGGTGGCCGTTGATCTGCTCGCTGAGCTTGGCAATCAGGTTGCTAATGTTTCGCCACAATGAATACAACAAAGTTACCATAAAACATGTTATGAGCAGACGACCACCACCACGAACGCGTCACATCAGCCAGCTTTGTAGAAGGAGTTCTCTAATTTTTGGTGTTGCTTTCAGCTATGATTAACCATGTTGAATCTGAATCCCATTTTAAACTACAGGTGCACTAAGCGTAAAGAGTAGGCCACAAGAGCGTATCAATCGCTAAATCTGATATATCTTACGGTCAGTTTAGAAACATCATGAACGAGAGATCCAGCTGGGTTTTTCTGGTGAGTCTCTCGCAAAATCAAATTTGTTTGCAAACGAGCGTAGTTCGTCAAGTTTGTGCAATTTGGTTTCGAATAGAACACGAGGTTTACGGAAACTCGGGGACTGTGCCTAGCTACAATACCACGACCAGCTACCAAGACATTGAACAGTCCATTCAAAGTGTGTACCATAGAGTAGATAAACACTGAAATGACTCACCGCTGCTTTCGGCGGATCAACCCTTCGCATCGAAAGTGTCACAGTTGTACGAAGCTGGATAATACAACCTGATGTGTCTGCATTAGTTAGACTTAACAGCCTCTCGTCATCATCGGTTGACTTTGTTGTTGTTGTTTTTGTTGTTCCACGACCCAAAGCCTGTTGTAATTCGTCACCAGCATCGGCAAACGCAAGGAAAAATCCGAGCTGGTCATCGCATGGTTTGGACTGTGAAACAGCTGTATTGGCAACAAACAAGGCCACAGGGTACTGAGTCAAAGCCGTTGTAAGAACACATGGAAACCAAGCGATTTCGTGAAACCAAGGCCTTAACTGTTGCGGAGGTTTTGGAACACTGACTCGTGCGACCTCAAACAGTCCACCTCGAGACAATGAACCCCCGCTTTGACTGATATCTGAAGGCTCCATGGTGAATCGTAGCCTGTGCGCAGCCGATGTGTGGTGACAATGTTGGAGTCGATGTCCTAGGCCACCAACAGTGCCAGACGAACTGGTCAGCGGTCCGACAGGATCAACACGCCATAGAATCAATTCGCTAACACTTTCGGTAGGTGTCTCCCCAACTGATTCCGCAGAAACCGACGATCCTTTAAGCTCATAGTGAGAGTTGGACAGGACCAGCGGTAGAAGAGGATGAGAGACAATGGCCTCGGTGTGAAAACGATGTCCGCTAAGACGTGCACTCCCGTTCACTCCAACAATCCACTGAAATCTGGAAAACAGAAAAGATATGATCCAGAGGCACATTGCACTATTTGGAACAAGGGGAAACAACGATACAGGTCGGATGTCATGGCAGATACAATAAAAACTGAAAATATATATCCTACCTCAAAGCGGCGGTAGTACATGTAACCTCATGGCGCGGGACGGCCGTTGATCACAGGGAAAAATACTATTGCTTAGATACCATTTTAGTTGCGCTAGAATAGGAAACTTGTGAATTGGCGAAGCTCGTGACTGGAATGACATTCTACCGAGTCGAATCGAAGAAGTACGAAGCTGGTAAAAACTTACTGGCTGGATTTGGACACATCCAGACGCCAGTAGCGCAGCGAACCATTGAAATGTCTGGTGACCATCGCGACGTATTGGGACTGGTGGAACTTCGTAGCAAACACCGTCCCCAGCAGTTGAGTCTGTGGGATACGAATCGAAGTGAAACCGATTGAAACTCGAAAGCGACTGGTAATGTAGAAAAAGGTTACATTCTGGGAAGACAGTGACACATCTGTTGGATGATAGGGAATCCGTGGGGAACGATAAATAGCAGCACCAATTCCAGCATCTTTTAGTCCAGATAAAACTGACTTTACTGTTTTTGAGGAACACACTCATTTGCAATTTGGTTTTCACGGGAGACTTAATTGAATCTCTCGTTTATGATGTCCTCCAGCTGAATGTGGTGCACACAGGCCGCCTCATCAAACTCAGGGACTGCGCCTACCTGATGAGCCCCAAGAAGAGCGAAACCGGTCGTGGGTTGTCGAAGAGTTTTCAGCAACCTTACGAGTAGTTTCCTTTATGACTTACTGTCATTCGATTTGACCTAATCTGTCCACCCGTCATATTTCCTTACAGATCTCGTGATTTAAGAATAGCATGAGTAGGACATGAGAGGCAGATGACGATTGTAAGACCAGAGGATGAGTGCTCCAGCAATGGCATTCATATGCGGATGGCTATATTTGGAGATACGTAAACTCTGACAACACGGCGGGAACAGCACACGGGATGCTTGGCTACTAGTTGCGGGAAGCAAAAACTAAGTTCAGCTGTAGCGACCTTTCGGTGCCTAGCTGCCATGCCACCCTAAGGACGCATAAGAGCTGGGATACCGTCAGGTTGCCCGAGCCTAGACAGGGGAAGTCAAGAGGCAGAGGTCGGGTTCGAACCACGGACCTTCCGGTCAGTAAATTCGCGCTCTAACCACTTGAGCCATCTCGCCCTAACACTGAAAAAGGATCCTAGGGTACCGTAGTTCATGTCAAGCCGAATGAAGCCGGTGTTTCTCGGACTAAATGCAACTGGCTACCGATTATATGAGTTCCTGAATACGCAAGGAGGGGGTTTTGTAGGTACGAAACTTAGAACTAGGTGTTATCCTACAAATTACGTCAACGCCTGCTGAAAAGCTGAGAAACAACAGCTCTGTCTTCTCCTGGGACCACGAGCAGTGTATGATGAACAAACCGCTGAGATTAGGACTTGCCAGATTACAGTTGACTAGCGGTGCTTGGTCAAAGGTTTGGACCCTTTCACTACTCATCCGTTCGAGCAAAAGACGAATCGGGGTCAACGAGTCGTCTTATTCAACTATTAAGGTAAAGAAGATCCTCAAGGTGATGCATGCTCTGAATGACGTGAAATTTTGGTGCCCTGTAATCGCAATAGTTCAGCTGCAGTACCCTTTCGGCGCCTAACTGCAGTGCCAATGAAAGGATGCACGAGGGCCGGGATGCAGTCACGTTCCTCAAGCCTAGACAGGATCAGTCGAGTTGCCACGGTTGAGTTCGGACCTTAAACCTTGAGCACTGAGTTATCCCGGGCTTTGTTCACCTTCAAAACTCGGCAACACAGTCAGCTATGTCACTTTGGTGAGGCAAGAAGGCCCACAATCCACCGTAGTCAATTATTATCTAGATCACCAGGCGGCAGTACCCAAAACCCTGTCAACAAACGTTACCAACTGATGTGTCATTTATCGAACACACCAAGGCCATCTTGCTTGAGCTGGAACGATATTCCATGGTATCGAAGCCACTTCCTGCATACGACGTAAACGCATAAGGTCGATGGAAAGTGCTGTCCAATTAGTCCTAGTCCCCAAATCTACACCAGTCTTATTTCGCACTTAAAACCTGAATCGAGCGTATCAGCACAGAAACACCCATTCACACACTAGGTGAATGGGTTTTTGCTATTAGTGAAGAACGGGACATACGTTTACCTGTGAAAATTGTTCTCCATAGCTTCCTCGTCGCCTTAAGAGGGGTATATTACGGCGACATTCCTCCATGCAAAATCCAGAGAAGGGCTACGATAGCCAAACCCCATGTAACAGTTTTGCCCCAGGGAATCTCAACGAAGGCATTGCACATACAGTTTCACTTTCATTCCAGTGATGACATTGAAAAGCGTGATTTGGTTAGGTTCTGTGATGACTTGCATTTTTGAACAAGGGGGATGACAGTCTTCACCTAGAACTCACAGAGGACCCTAACTCAGCAAGAGTTAAGAATGAAGCTATACGCTCTAGAAAATGGACACCCATTTTTCATAAACACGTGTTTGAACGGCACTGCACAGAGCAGCTGACATGCCTCAAACCGTAGACTCCCAGCCGACCCACTGTGACCAAACTGAAGTCACCATCAATCAAATGGGAAATCAAAGCCTTTTAAAAAAAACGAAATAAATTTTGGCTCAGAAAACAGGATAGGGATAGCGGAGTACGAGGCTGGCACCAGCAAGCAAGACCTTACTTCAGACAGCCCTGAAAGAGCTGCTTGTCTCCAAATCCACGCTATAGGATCCATCTCGGCCTGGGAATGTTGGGACTGAAGCAGGATGATTAGGCGACAGAAGAGTGTGGAGATATCACGACTAGATGGGATGGCCTGGTCGGAACCATCCGTGTGAATGTGTTGGTGATGACTGCTTGGTGTTGCGGTGAGGAAAAGAAACAAGCCTGGCTGGAGAGAAGCGGCTTCAATCACGGGAAAGGCTTCATGTAAGCGTGAACGAAGGCTGGAAGTGACTTGAGTTAGACGCGTGTACCCTGAACTCGGGATCGTGGTAAACAACGAATCAATCGTGCCGGTCCGACTACCGTTTTCCAATAACGGTACATACTGTACACGAAGTCCTGCTGGATTAGGGACGGATGTATCAAGCCCATGAATATACCTGGGATGAAGAAATGGAGATAGAAGCGTAAGTCAGCATTGAAACCCAGTAAACACGACGGTACTCACAAGGCTGGTGAGTAGTAGACAGTGTACTACGGGGTCCCCCCTCTTTGCGGCTCTCTACTTAGTCTAGTCCGGGAGCTTAAACCATTCTTACTTCGTATTTGAACCCCAACTAGTGTCGATAAACACTCAGTTGCAAGGGGAGGCCAAGCTTAATTCCTCGTTCATGATATTCTTCAACGGAGTGTGCTGCGTATGTTTCAGTTGGTACGATATTCGAGACATCACAATATTTTCCCGATATAACGGAGTAATCATGAGTTTTCTGGAAACTTTTGTGGGCTCAACAGGAAGGCGTAATCCCAGAGTTTCTCGGTCAACCTTATTTCCACCTGGAACATCAAACTGAACGCCTGTGGTGGTAAACTGAAGATAACGAGATATTCAAGCAAAACACAAATGAATCTTGTGTTTATGATAGGTATTGAGTAAATGCGCCATCCAAAGACCCATCTGATGTACTCCAACGGGTGTGAAGCCGTTAGTGATGTTTTTATCGATCTCACTTGGATAACCTGGAGATCGTTTGAAACGGAAAATCGGACGGTCCAAAATGGAAACAGGTACATGTTTATTCGTAATGCACTGCTCGGAAAAAGGTACAGTTCTCAACAGCACAATCTACACAATACAGAATTGTTGCACGGAGGCAGCAGCATTTTCCACGTGGAACGCACTCAATTTTCCAAGAAACGAGCACTTCGACAGTGCCGAAATCTCCGATGAACGCATCAGATACAAATATTCCACAAGATCGCACCGCGCTGCTAACAACAGGGCCATGTTTTTTAAATGATCGTGGTAACAAAATATGCCATACTGGTTAGCCACCATGCTGCTAATTTATTCAACAAAATTTACAAAGGTTCCATGAATGAAATCGACAAGCCAACTCTCACCAAACTCATGCACCGGAGAAGAGGAAATAAATGGAAAAGGTTTCTGTCTTGGATTCTACGTGAGAATGCCGCGACGATCAGGATGAGTACGGACAAGCCTGTTATCCTTTTTTTTGTAAAGTAAAAAAATCGTTCAGCTGTAGCACCATTTCGGTGCCTAGCTGCCATGCCACCCGAAGGAAGCACGAGGGCTGGGATACTGCCAGGTCGCCCAAGCCTAGACAGGGGAAGTCGAGAGGCAGAGGTCGGGTTCGAACCACGGACTTTCCGGTCAGTAAATTCGCGCTCTAACCACTTCAGCCAATGTAAAACGAAAATTAAAAAAAATAAAGGTACGCCAAACAGACTAGATAGCCAGCGACCTACCATACAACTAGACTGCCGTCTTTTGGCAGAATAGACAGGACCACATCCGGTGCGTGCTGCCATTCGCTGACCATCGCCTCGACGGACTGATCCAATACGGCCAAGTGATCGGTCAGAGTGGGCATCGGACTATCCGTGGGAACGCTAGGAGTTGTGCAATGTGCTGAAACGGGTGAAAGGAGGAAAGCACATTTTTTAAATCGTTCAGCTGTAACACTTTTCCGGTGCCTAGTTGCAAGCAAGCCAAAGGAAGCGCGACGGCCGAGATAATGTCAGTTTGCCTAAGTCTAGACAGGGGAAGTTGAGATGCAGAGGTCGGGTTCGAACCATGGACCTTTCGGTTAGTAAATTCGTGCTCTAACCACTTGAGCTATCTCGCCTCCAACGAGGAAAATAGGATGGTTGTAAATGGTTCCATGCCAACCTGCGGAAACACGAGGACTAAGACACTTCTAAGTTGCTTCAACCCATAGAGGAGCAGTCGAAACACAAAACAACGGACTTTCCGGTCAGTAAGTTCGCGCCTTACGTACTGAGCTATCCCTCAAAGATAATCATTGTCTGAATAATTCGAGAACAGCGGTAGGCTAGTAAGATAATTTTTTTAGATGACGAAGATTGACTGCTTAGCTGACAAAAATGTGGATCCGAAATAGAACGACAGACCTAGTTGTGGATCGACAGAAAAGAGTACTTCAACACGTTCAACACCAATGTAAGTTACTTACTGCTCAACGAAGGGATATTCATTATCCGAGCCACCGAGTCCAATAACAGTTGTCGCATCTTCTCGTTCAGACGATGAACCTTGTTATTCAGCCAATGGAGCACAAACTGATGAGTAGTGGAACTGAAGGCGAACGGACAGTGATATAGGCAGACTAAATGAAGTCGATTATTGTGAGGCTTCACACCACCATCATCAACAACGATATTAGTGACAGACACTGGTTCACAGGTGTTATTGATGGCCTAATGAGGGTGCTGTGTGCTGCAGACAATGGTTCAACTTTTATATCGGTCCTTGGCTTTCTGCTCCGCCGACTACGGTACGTCAAAAGGCACGATAGTTTCAGACAGCTGTTTATGAGGACGAAGGACGATTAGTACAAATGTATTTATAGGGTCAACGCAGAATTTTCCACTCGCTAGGATTTCCATGCTAGAGCGAGAAGCGCCGAGTTGTAATGTTGACGCTCTTACCAAACAGGGTATGCTTTCTTACTGCACTACTCATAAGGTTGCTGAAAATTCGTCGACAGCCCACGATCGGTTTCACCCTTCTTAGGGTTCATCAGGTAGGCTCAGTCCCTGAGTTCCCGTCAACTTTATGTTCTCCTTGAAACCAAATTGCATCAAATTAGCGAATATACACTCATTCGCAAACTAATTTGGTTTTGCAAGAGACTCACCTGGAACCCAGCTGAATCTCTCGTTTGTGATGCCTTCAGATAACTGGGTATACTTTCGTTTAGTCCGTGACCCGCACGGGACACATCCGTTCAATCGATGTGACGACCGGTTATTGGGGGGGTTTGCCTCAGGACAGAGGGAGAGAACAAACTGGCAAACGATGGGGACCTGGGCCACATGTTTTGACAAGGCTATCAAGAATAAGGGACCTACGTTCCCGAACAGCAGCAAAATAGCTTCTCAGCTTTTCAGCATAGATTGGTTTCAGGACGAAAGCTCAATTGGAAAATCACTCGAGGTTTCTGCGTACATGATCGAGGCGACATCCATCCGACTGCGCAAAAACCTGATCTCTGTGCGCAAAAACTATTCCTACGCACACTCAAGCTCAACAGACCGGCACTGACTGCAAAACATAACGGACATCCGATTACGTCTTCCAGATCTCCCTCGTGTTTATTATGTAACTCAAATGGCGAAAGTTCATTCTTCTTAATTGTGAATGACCACTCTTAGTTAGAGAGTTTTTGAAGCTTATCTGAGGGCCACACCGAAAACAGTGCTTGTTTGATGTCTCGTTATTCAGATGACAACTTCGAGTATATTCGAACGCCTTATCAGCCTGATGTCATTAAATACAAACAAAATCAGCCCGCACTGATGATGTCAACTCGATTGGTGATGAAACGTTTGTAATCCAATGGCCAACCTCGGCGAATAGACCAAAAACCAAGTTTTCCGGTAAATTTACAAAGCGACAAGTGGTTTGTCAAGCACAATTGCAACGCGGTAAAGACAACCAATTGACGAATAGACTAAGACGTCAACTGGTTGGGCGACGCAGCTACCACGACGTGTCTACTGACTGTGTGAGTGCGTAGACGTACTCCAACAACTCCGGTCATTCATTCTACACTCTCAGGACCACAAATATGCGAACAGAGGGCACGAAGTATACGGGAAAACCTCGAAAACACCTCTATTTGTTCGACTATACGTGTTATTTTGACTAAAGAATCAAATATGACTTTAAAGTCAGGGTCTACAACTAGCATTGATCGGTAGTGATATATCCGGCTACGCTCGAACATGTGAACAGTACGCACCTACCCTGTCGACTGATTTTCTTGAATTTGCGTCTCGAATGTCGCAGTTTCGCGGATCATAGCAAACGAGTTGTGACGGGTATGAGGCAGAGAACTAACAGATTGGAACAGTCACCTCGAGTACCTTTCTGAATAGACCAGTGGTGAATGATTGCTCTCAGTCCTCTGAGGTTCGTTCTTGTCTCGAACAGTTTAGCCAAAGGAGAACACAAAGGCTAGTGCTAATGCACTAGCTCAATGGCGCCTCAAAGTAGAAACTGACAGAGGATTCCAACCGATTGACTCAAACTGAGCACGTCTACCTGCTCGGTTGACAAACTTGACTGTTTCAGGAAATATTTCGCCCAACAATCTGAACACTGGCTTTTACTAAATAGTGGATTTTCAAAGTGACCTTTGATTTCAACGAACACACTCATTTGCATATGAATTTGGTTTTCATAGGAGACTCAACTGAATCCCCCGTGCATGATGAACGTGCTGCACAAAGGCTGCCTCATATTTCAGTTGGTAAGATATTCAAGATATTCCAGCATGTTTTCATAAAAGAAAACTACTCATAAGGTTGCTGATAACTGTTCGACAGTTTACGATCGGTTTCGCCCCTCTGATAGCCAGTAGAAAATTACAAGAGCTGCTCATTACTATCATTGTGTCCGGCGTCTAAACTAAACAGACCACCAAGGCGTGTCTTTGGTGACCTGAAATGCTCTCCATGCGTATCCGATGCTTTTGTGTTGCACAAGAGGGAGGTTAGACATTGACGGAAAGAGATTTTGGCTGAGTCAAGGCTACGGTTGATTGATGCATGAGGTTCATTAATAAAAAGCGGGGTGGGAAATCAGACAACCGAATGATTGTCGTTGGATCCTGTATAACTAACATATACCACTGAAGCACCCAGAATGCGCACAAGGGTAACTTTCTGGCCAATTCGCTTAAAACTGAAGGCTAAGACAACGATAGTGGAATAAGGTCTGAATGGTGGAATTGAAGGGCCGAATGCGAGTGACAGCGCCCATTCCGTCGGCTTACCGGGTGGCCGACCGATACGATCATAGCTGAGATCTACAGAAGAGCGATTAAAAGTGGGAACGGGAAAACAGTCGAGAAGCGGAATTGGATAAGAATGGGAGGCGTCAGCAGTTGTACGTTTCGGCCTGTCCTTCCTGTTGTATGCCATGAAAAGATACTCGGATGAAGTCACTACCAAACGGTCGTTAAGGTACACGGGTTTGTGCACATCATAGGTGGACGAGATGCCACCAAGTTGCAAAAGTAACAAAATAAAAAGACAAGGTCCTCAACACACGGGTTTGTGCACATCATAGGTGGACGAGATGCCACCAAGTTGAAAAAAAAACAAAATAAAAAGACAATCAGGGTCCTCAACCGCAATGCAGAGGAGGTCAGCAAACAACCACCAAACAAGCCTAAATTTTAGGGAACAAGGTATTATACGTATTCCATCCCCCAAACAGGAGGACCAGAAGAACGTTTGTCAGACCGTATCGATCCATCACCACGGTATGGGAAACTCTGTAGATGGTGTACTAGCTCACATGGTTGCTCACAGGTACACAAACCATACAACTGTGATAAAGTCCAGTCTCTTGCCACAAGGGAACCGATGCAACGGACGCTGATGGTCTTGTTTGAAGGCGCTCGCTCCAGAGAAGATAAAATCGATCGATGCTGTTTCTTGTTCAAAAATACACCCTATATAGGTGTGATACTCCACTCGAGGAGAAGACATTTCAGAGTGATCTTGACCTCTCCGCATGGGAAGGAGCCACGTCTTTGATCCGACATCACTGTACCGGGGTGGCGAAAAGTTTGAAAGCGTTGGAAAGGTTTACAAAGTGTGACAGCGGGACGGCAAAATCCGCAACAGGGAAATCTTTGTAAATGTATCACACTGATCAATGGTCATTGATCAAAAGAGAGAGACCTTTGACAAAAAAATAGCCGTTTAGCCTAGCTAACATGCCACCCGAAGGAAGCACAAGGGCTAAGATTCTACCAACCGTTTAGCCTAGCTAACATGCCACCCGAAAGAAGCACAAGGCGTAAGATTCTACCATGTTACCCAAGCTTAGACAGGATCAGTCGAAATGTTAATGATGGGATCAAACCATTAGGGCCTTACGGTCAGTAATTTCGCGCCTCAACCACTAAGCTCTCTTGGGCTCGATCATCTCTGGATAGATCATAGCTGTTGACAGTAACAGGAAAAGGAACACTAACTTGCGAATCAAAGCCCGAGGCAAAAGCCAGTGAGAACAAACCAATGCGATATAAGCCAATCGAAAGAAAATGAACGAATATGTAAAGTTCCGCAGACGTTTAACTCAACATACGCAAGATCGGATCCAGCTGAAAGCCCTTGAAAGCTGTCCAAATCCAGGGAGGCAGCAAAAGCAAACTGGGGAAGGCAATGATTGTTGGAGCAGTGTTGAAAGGTGTCCGCGACTTGTGTGGTCGGTTGATTGGAGTGGACCGTGATATTGGTATCGTCGAAAGGGTCTGCTAACCTGTCATGGGTGAATAGATTGAAGATAAACGGTTCTCACACAAGCTGCAACCGACAAAATGAAACTCCAAAAAGCTTTCACAAAGCTTTTCCATTGAAGAATCAAAAGAATAGGCTCCATGAAGTAGTCTGATTCGTTTTCACATGATAACGAGACGTCTAGTATCACAGTTCTACAACGAAACGCTATGGTCTTTTGAGAACTTTCTGTGTGACGGAGGAAAGGTGTTGAATGAACCCGCAAGCGTGAGTCACGGTCACGTTCGGCTGGCGATAGTCATTCAAGCTTGCGTCGAATGCTGCCAACAGAAAGAGAATATTTTTTACAGGTTCTGATGATCAGGTGGATTAAGTCTCCCTGACGGAGCAATATGGTGTTCCGGCTGAGATCCCAAAACAAGTACTGGGTGCGAAATCAAGTGTTCCTGAAAACCACGACCAAGAACTGTTCACCAAGTAATACTGGTTAGGGGAAATTATTGTATCACACAATCATATAATCGAAAACTATGGGGTGGTATCTCCCCAAGAGGTGAATCACTTTGCATCGATAGAGAACGCTCTCTCCGAAAGAGAAAATCAAATTTCCCCGGGGGTTTCACAAGAAAGCGTTCAGCTGTAGCACCCTTCCGGTGGCTAGCTGCCATGCCACCCTAAGGAAGCACGAGGGCTGGGATACCACCAGGGTGCCCAAGTTTAGACATGGGAAATCGAGAGGCGGAGGTCGGATTCGAACCACGGACCTTCCGATCAGTAAATTCGCGCTCTAACCACTGAGCCATCTTGCCTCCTTTGTCTTGAGAGAAATACCGTAGAAATGACAAACGATATGGTTCATACTGGGCAAATACGTACCATAATTCCAGAAGTCGACGTAGTACTGGATGATGAAGCAAAACTGAGGGAACGGAAAACGAAGACCCGGGTTGCGAATCCAAGTCGGGACTGCAGCCAGTCATGTGTCCGTGAGCCGGTTGATTTGAAGCAGCTACTCGGGACCTGGTCGGCATGGTGATCGTGGCAAGGAGCTCATTATTAACGTCCGTCCGTTGTGTTGCTGCTGGTGATTTGGACGTGGATGCAGCGGGGCCAGTCGCTGGAGTCGACACACTGGGATTGAGCTTAAGCACCTCTACCCACAGCCGGCATACTCTATCTTCAGAAGACGTGAGCAGCACATTTGGGACCCAGCCACTGAGGAGAGGTGTGAAAGAAAAGGCGTGAAAATACTACCTGGATTAGATGCATGCCGATGTAAATTGGACAGCTACGTGGGGATGCTTTAAACATAACTTCATGACGCGTTCTGAGTAAACTGACGCGATACGTGTAACTGTCCTCGCTTCTTCGTAATGAGAATCAGACAAGCCCACCACCAGGATTCCGTATATATACATCCGAAAAATGCATTTTGTTACAGTTCTCTGTCGATATTCCTCCATCACAACCTACAACCCCATCATCTCCATTTCATCCGCTATCGTTCATTGACTCCGGCGTCGTTTCTAAGTTGAAATGTATCTCGTCAGGAATTTAGACTCCAGCAATTCACAATTGTCAATTGAATTTCTGGTAGGGAATATCTGACAAGCAGATCATCGATTAGAGCAGTTCTCGGTTTCCCGTTTGAGGCACCATGTAAAACCACTACAAGAAGATGAGAGTTGAAATCTCAGTGATGATGAGGACCTAACCAGAGCAAAATCCGATTTGAGTGCGCCCTGTTTTGGTACGAGTAGTCACGACGCGACACAAAAAAGGTTGTTCAAGGGAGAGGAGTAAGTACGACAATAAACCAAAAACGGATTTTTACAAGCCATAATTGGGTTTGGTGTAAACCTGTAAGAAATGAAACTTCAGAAGTGTACAAGAAGATTGGTCTTTTTTAAACCTTAGTTTACATACCAGAGTATACTACTATTATTACTCGTTCCGTGGGCTAGGTCAGTTGATGGGAAATCGGCGACGAGTTCTTATACCTGATTCCAGGTGATCGACGGGAGCGTGCTAGGAGACATGCATCGGCCTCAGCATCTTCCCCTCACTCTATCAACAGTGTACAATAAAACACGACGTGAAAGGGTAGGATGAAAGTAATGCCATCTCCGCTACTGTAATATACGGAGGAGCATACGGTGACGAAAGTCCTAGAAACAAAGAAGCAAATAAACTGTGAATAAAGTTCATTGAAATACGACACAAATGACGTGATGACTGAAACCGTTCTACCGTCCATGATGGTCAATCCGAGCTACGGTTCCTCTGGCGGTGCGTTTTCCGACAACATCGATACAGACGTCAATCCGGTCTTAGCTCTAGGGCATTCATAAGTAGTTATCTTCAGTTTGATCGACAGACGCACGCGCATCCAGACAAGGGTGGTATGAAAGTTCACTGTTCTCCCATGGATAACCCACAAATGACAAGGCGATTCAGAGAACCGATTCAAAGGCCGCATTCCGAATGCAACAAGGTGTACGGAGGTCAGTCATCCCTAAAAACCGAACATCACATCATTTGGACGAATGTGTCACGTGCAGGACACGGACCAAACGAACGCAGGCCCTGATTGGTCAGAATGCCAGCCAATCCGAGTCGAGCATCTTTAACTCGACGCTTCTCGCCCCCTCAAGGAGATTCTGGTACGACCTTGTGGAACACTGTGAGTACCCTATAAATACAGTTGTAATAACTTTCCGTAGTCTCCATAAAGGGCTGTGTAGAGCTACCGTGCCTTTTGATATACCATAGTGGGCGGAGCGGGAAGCCAAGGGACCGATACAGAGTTGCACGATCGTCAACAAGTTACAACACAAGGTTAGCTCACAGTCAAGCACTGACTCATCGTGGAAACCGGATCAAGGAAGACCACCTGAAAGCAAGCAATAATAAGGGGTGAGTGATAAGAAACTGTCGCTTGGATGAATGAACTCTGCCGCTAACAAGTCAAACAGTGAGGCCATCATACTACATAGGGTCACCTCGCTTTACACAAAAGCTGAATATGTGACCGTGATCGGCTGCCTGAGTGATCCCTCTCCAAGTCTCCAACTTTAACTGCGATTTCGTTGGACCCGTTCTACGTTTAGCGACAGCAAGATGAACAGAGAACTGCTACAACGTTCTTAACCGCTTCGAGAACTGAATGCCACAGACTGGTTAGGGTACTTGTTGGTCACACGCACACAGAACACGTGCAACCCTAGGACCAGCGCGGTGAGAGCAAAGATAGAGTCCCCGCCACTCGACTCCCCCTGTCTAGGCACTGGGCAACCTGGCAATATCCCAGCCCTCGTGCTTCCTTCGGGTGGCATGGCAGCTACGCACCGGAAGGGTGCTACAGCTGAACGCTTTCTTTTTCTTTCACACGCACACAGAACACGTGCAACCCTAGGACCAGCGCGGTGAGAGCAAAGATAGAGTCATTCAAAAAGCCTTGGGACCAACTGAGAAGTCATCGTTTCAGAAGGGTTTGATAAACAATCGGTGGGTTCATAACTAGCCACTGTTTCGCTTTTGATATAAATGCTTCATCAGGTCAAGTTAACCAAGTTTTAAGGCAGATGGAGAACCAAGCAACAAGATCACTTTCGACTAGCACACCAGATGGATGTTGGATGTCGGTTAAAGGATCTTGTCGATCAGTCTCATGGCTGACAATGTGGCGGTGATTTAGAGTCATTTTGATTGGATTTTACTCCTTGTTCTTCCGGTCCATGGCGCTTCTTGAGTGTGTCAATGGTGGTCAGTATGGGCTCCTAAGTGCCACGACGAGTTGGTTAAGGTGAGATTGAAATCACATGGACCTTTGGTCGACCTGAACTATGTACTTCAGGTCTAAGTTGCTTCTGCTGACGACTGCTCTTCATTGGTAACTGCATGCCACCACGCATTAGCTCGACCGATCTGGAACTATTCCGATCACGTCCTCCAGTTCTGAGCCTTTTATTCTATTCACACTGGGATGCTGGGCGATTTCCACCGCCCCGGCTATCAATCGTTGTGGTGTGAATCGTAATCCCATAGATCTACTTTGTGCCTCCATTGCCGAATCTTTCAGTAGGGATCTGTCTACTTTTCTTTGTGCCGTCTGCCCTATATGGACCTTGATGGGTTGAATTTGATTTTGTAAACACAGTCCGCGGTCCTGTTTGCCCGGAGGCAAGCGTTCAACTACACCAGTGCATAGCCCACTGTTTCCCTTCTGGAACGCTACTCTTATGTTAGCCGTATTTGAGATCTTTCAAATGATTTTGGACGTCCCTTTCTTACATGGACTAGCAGCAGTCACAATCCATTTCTCATCGGGGTTCCACCAGTCATGCTAGTCAAGTTTGGCGAGCACCAGTGTGACAAAGCACTGAAAGTTATGTAAAAAAAGGTCGATCTATGATAAACAACTATCAGAAGACGAGTTCTGATAAACCCTGCGCTCATCGTAGGGGTCCCGACTGCTCGATCGAAAGTTTGCGCGCACATCCTCCCATTTGATGCCTGTATTATGAAGGAGTATTACCGGAAAAAGACAGCATAAGGCTATATTCACGGTTTCAGAATTTCACTGAGTCACGTAAACTCCCGCCCTCCCGCCAACTGTCAACCAATTATGGAGCGCCAAGATGAAGTATACTGCCCTCACCCAAGTACGGATACCTGAAGACAAGTCTTACCTGGTCTAACACTTCATTGCCAAGTCGAAAATGTGTTAAATAAGAACTGTGTTGAATCCAATTGAATCCAATTCAGATGAGTTGGAACAAAACACCCCATGCACTGTTGAAATCAATTGTCACCAAATCACGGTAAGTCGGTTCGAAGCCCACCAAAAGCCAACCGTCGGTGTCAATCCGCTACGGCTAAGACCGAGCACATCAGTGCGTACAGACGATTGCTTTTTGACAGGGCACGGAACGTTTGCAAGCTAATTGCCAAACTCGAAGAACAGATCAAAGACCACCTGATCAACTGCCAGCCGAGCTACGAATATATCGACACATTGAAACTGACAACCTTAGTTGTTGGCACATTTTACCCCAAAACATGGTTTTGCCAGAACGACGTCCAACTGTACTCGAACAGATCGTTCACTTAATCGCTGAGCCGAGTAATTTAATCGCAAGCGTCTTATCGCCAATCGAAGTGTTGTATTGTAGCGTTGCACCGGTAGCTGTGCCAGGAGTGTCACGTTGCTCGAAGCTGTTTGACGCCTACCAACCTATAATTGCATGGTTTTGGCTGACAATCACAGCTGCATGCACCTTTCAGGTCAACAAGCTATGACGAGATAGAAGGGCATGGCAGAATCACAAACTTCTTACTCGACTGAAGTAGGGACACAGGGGAATCCACGAATATACGAAAAGTCGATTGTTTGGTACAGTGCATTCATGTCAAATGCATCGAAAAGCGTAACACTAACACATTCTGGTGCTCGACTTCATTAGTGCATCCTGAAGGGGGGTGCACTAGCAGGTGTAATTACATCCAGGGTTTCCACCCACAAGTTCATAGCCCTAACCACATGGTTATTCGGTCAATGAATGTTCTCCCTCCCATCTTCTTCGACCACGGTCTTGACAAGGGGCACAATCGGAAGTCGTAGAAGTCAACCGGCCCGTGATACAGCCCAAAGAGAGTCGTAAAACTCAAAGTGCAATTAGAAGACGGATAGGAAATCCTAAAAAAAACTCTCGAATTGAACTCACACGGGTAGGTAGGGGCTACAACTGCGCCAAGTGAAGTATAGGGCTGATACAGGATGGGGCAGTACCATGTGCTCCCACCTCTCTTCTGTTAACGTACCTAGAAAAGTAGTAGGGTTAGCCGAAAGGTGAAGCGAGCGGGGAAGGAAAACATACCATCTGATGAGCGGTCATCGAGATCAGGCAAATGTTGATTGGCTTGAAACCAGACGAATATTTTGGTAGTCTTTTTGTCACCGGGGCTTTGGAATAGGGTTGCGAAATAACGACCGTCTGGGCTAAATTCCATTTGTAACGGCGTACCTGTGAAAATTAGGGGAAGCGAACAAGGTATATAATTTTACGAATTCGTATTGCCTATCGCATGTAACAGAGAGTTGAATACTACTCAATGAACGAATCTATATCAGGCGGTTATTTGTGGACCCGGTATGAAGGCCACAGCTGACATTATTCGGCACACGGTGAGGGGATACAAAAGGCAAAGTTATAAAACGCACTAGCTGAGTGCAGCGCAAAGTTATAAAACGCACTAGCTGAGTGCGAGGACCGCAGCTGAAAGACTTTGAGCTAGAATGCGCATTCGAAATACCATGAGCTTTCAAGATGGAGGACACCCTAGTTTAACTCTGGACAATCAGATGGATGTAAAGATAATAATAATATAATCGTTCAGCTGTAACACCCTTCTGGTGTCCAGCTGCCATGCTATCCGAAGGAAGCACGAGGGCTGGGATACTGTCAGGTCGCCCAAGCCTAGGCAGGGGAAGTCGAGAGGCAGAGGTCGGGTCGGAACCGGTCGGCCTTCCGGTCAATAAATTCGCGCTCTAACCACTTGAGCCATCTCGCCCCATCAGATGGATGTATACGGATCGAACCCTGTTTTCTACGTTTCAGTAAGGAAAAATGAGTCATACTGCTTGGTTCGACCGGCTGGATTATACTCGCTCACGGAGCAGGATTACTTTCGTTCCATATCCTAATTTCGATCGCTGATATAGCCCGTTTTCACCCCACTTGGGACATTAACGCCCTTTTATTAATTTTTTAGATGTTTTGGACTTGATAATCAAGAAGTTCATGAGATTTTGTGTTGCCTGCCAAGAGAGGGCGCAACTCAAACTCAGTGGATGCGTGTGTTTCGAGATATTCGCAGCTTTTTATTAAGCTGTACAGAGTTCTCCAATATATCCGCAGTTGTCCTTCAACATATATGCGGAGAACCCGCTACCATTGTATAAATACCTCGCAACCATGCTTCGCATATAAGTTAGTCGGGAAAATATCTGAGCACCTGAATTGAATTTTCAGCATTCGCGATTATGAGTCATCACTGGTTGAAAATGGGAGTAACACACATGTCCAATAAAACTCAGCGGATCGACGTCACGCGCCTTTCAGCAAATATTTCGTGGCTTATTTCGTGTAACGCCGAATTTCATCAAGGCATCAGTGAATAACCGTGTTGGAAAGTAATGTTGAAAACTTGGATGAATCAAGGAACAGAGGAGAAAGTGCTTTGCACCCGAGATGTTTGGGCTGATTGAAGCCAGAGAAGTTCGTCGGCTGAATCAACTAATATCTTCCGAAGTACAGAGTTCGGACTTGGCCGCAACAAATACTTCAGTAGTCTATAGTGCAGCATATTGTTTAGCGTGTTCAAGCATTCTGTCAGTCCTACAGAAGTCACCACCGAGGAACTAGGTCCGCTATGTTTTCAGCGTGCATGTGCGACCAGAATCGACCACCTGATCCCCTGTTGTGAGTATGAATCCACAGCATGATTCGTCCGGCATGCACCTTAGTCCATTCTCGGCAAATATGGACATACCGATCACAATCAGGTCCAAAGTGATAGAACTTCCACAAACCGTCGAGCGAAAGAGGAGTAAGCCCACGGAACACTTTGGAAATGCAAAATATACACTTAAAACAACCGATATTGTTAACGTGTAGACGGTGAATCGAGTTTTGAGCTTCTAACTGTTGGTCAAATGCCAACTTATCGGAAAACAGTGCGTCGGAAAATGGGAAACAGCATAGAGGATAACAGGCAGAAACTACTGAATAAGAGGAGTTATGTGATCGATCTTTTCATGTCCATTTTATGAAGCCCGCGCTTTCCGGAGCATGACCACACTAATAAAACAAAAAGACGTATTTACATAGTCTGTAGCGTACAGCAAAGGTAGTAAGGCAGTGAGGTAGGTCGAGGCTGAACAGATTCTGAAAAACAAATAAATCGGTTACTACAACACCATCAGGTTAAGGGTTAGTCCGGAGAATGGCGGAGGTAGTGAGGTGAAAATATCATGGTTTGTATACTAGTAACAAATTTGTGGAAACCGTATTCATAAGAAATGAAACACCAAGCCAAAAACAGGATGAGCACCGAGTGCCTCACCTGGAAGATTGCCAATTGATAGGGATTTCCAACTCTCAGAGTTTTGCCAAGGTATCGGTATGTCTCCGGATATTTCGTCCATGGACAACTCTCCAACCGAAGTCGTCTCAGAGCCTAACGGGCTAGAACCCAACAGAAATTGCGGCGGATGAGCACGTCTCAATTGATCCGGAGAAGATGGGGGACGCCACATGATTAACTGACCATCGTTTTGGGCGACCAGGAGCCCTGACTTGCGGGTAGAAAAGCATGATTCGTGGGACCAAGCAAGGCAGCAGACCAGTGTTTGTGCCGGTAAATCGATACAATGTTGTAGGTACCAAGTTACGTTGGACAGACTACACCGAACGGTGCTCCCCGTAGACAACTGAAAACAAACCGGTAAACGATGTGAGTAGTATCGGGAATAATACAAAAGACTACCCGTACAAATGGGGAAGGTGTTTGGAACAATGAGAAGTCTGTGCCAGAAACGGTAATCCTGACTCGCCCATCACATAAAAAACTTGAACCCATGGTAAAAAAAGCTTCGCGGCGATTGCTCGAAACAGCATCTGCGTCAACGTAAACAGCAAATTAACTTTAGAATGTTTGCGAAATGACCTTGTCGCATTAAACCACGCAGAGGAACCGCTGAGCACAATAAGGAACACCACATGAGCTGGGCTGCACGTGCAACCAACTGAACACAATTTGCATTCGACGGACTAAGACCATGGGGTGAACAGCATAGGGAAGTTCGAAAGCAATCTGCATGCCCAGCTGCTGACCCGCAGTCATCAAGCCAAAATGGGAAAATTGAGCAGTGAACGCAAAACTTGGCCCGGTAGCGTGAATCACTCACACGACGCACCCTAGGTAAACATGGGCAAGTGAGTGTCAGACATTATGCCGCTTGCTCTGTGCACCGATGGTCATAGATTGTAGGCTTAACGCAGACCGGAAGGAAATTGAGCAGTGAACGCAAAACTTGGTCCGGTAGCGTGAATCACTCACACGACGCACCCTAGGTAAACATGTGGCAATTGATTGTCAGACATTATTCCGCTTGCTCTGTGCAACGATGGTCATAGAGTCAATTACAGCACGATTGTAGGCTTAACGCAGACCGAAAGGACCAGTGTCAAGGCAAAACAGACAAAAAATGCACATTAAATTAAATCAAACCAAACATAACTCAATGCAAAACAATACAGTACACGCTAAATAAAACTGACGCGACAGCTGAGGCAAACGGACGATCCGACAGTCCGAGGAATTCGGTCATGAACCACTCAGGACCACTATGGGGCGAATTGGCTCAAGTGGTTAGAGTGCGAATTTACCGAACGGAAGGTCCGTGGTTCGAACCCCACCTCCGCCTCTCGACTTCCCCTGTCTGGGCTTGGGCAGCCTGGTGTTATCCCATCCCTCGTGCTTCCTTCTAGTGGCATGGCAGCTAGGCACTGAAAAGGTGCTACAGCTGAACGGTTCGATTTCCTTCTAGGGCTACTATACTCTTGGATAGTGAAGAAACGAACCGCAAAAACACGCATATGAACAAACATCGGTTAGACCATTTCTCGCACTACTCGTAATTCGGGAAAAATTCAGTGTGAAGGTAAGCAGGCTGCTTTTAACCTTGATTTACTTCAACGTCTGACCATCTGCGGCTGTGAAGCGTAAGTGCACGTCCTTTTTCATGCTACTAAATGGCGACTTTGCAAAAGAGTCGGGGTTTTTTACCACGGTTCACCTGGGTCTGTTCCAGTGAGTGGCGCTCATGTTGCTTGTGTTGTTTCCTTAAACAATCCACCTCCGGTGCATCTGCCAATGACGTAAACGGATGTAAAATAACCACGACACAAGCAATGTGAACGCCACTCGTCGGAACAGTTCCGGATGAACAACGCCGAAAATCAAGATTCCTATGTATCGTGGGAGAGTTCATGCACATCCGGGCCAGCCGTGGAAGTGTCGCGATCAACACCACGTGTAAAATGACAGAGAGCACCCGTCATTCTATCCTTGAATCTCTGACGAAACGTTTCATCCAGTGTGAAGCAACACTTATTTGAATGGACTGACCTTGGGTGATTTAACTTCACTCTCATGTCATCAATGAAAATCCTACTGAACCTACACGACTATACATGCTTTTCCCTTTTTTGGTTTCTAAAACGCTGAAGAACACCGATAGCATTTTTGGATACAAATGCCAATCAAGCCAGCTGGCTGAAATGATGAACTCAGAATGATGAGAGCCGGTACTAGTGTGTATGTAGAAGTGGTAATATGTTAAAATTGATCTCTTGAATGGGCTTATAATAACTCGATCTTTTTTATGCGAAATAAACCATAGTATTCATAATGGTTGGGACTAGCATGGGGCGATATGGTTCAGTGGTTAGTGAGCGAATTTATCGACCGGAAGGTCCGTGGTTCGAATCCGACCTCTCTATCTCTACTTCTCCTGTCTACGTTTGGGCAACCTGGCAGTACCCCAGCCCTCGTGTTTTCTTCGCGCCATAACGAAGAGCGAAAGCCTCAAAAAGCAACCAAAATAACTAATGACAGGAGTGCTTCATCTCAGTTCACAGTTTGATCCTCTCAAATTAGCGTTTTCAGTAAAGGAACCACCAAGGGTGTATTTTTATCGACTTTCAAACAAGACAAGCCATTCAAAACGTGAACGGAAACACAAACAACCTGTTTCAGACAATGTCGGGAAGGTCAGATTCCTGAAAGTAACCTCAGAACACCCGCAAGCATCCACGCAAGTCAACTACCCAGTGCATTCAGCAAAAGCCGATGGGTGTTCAGACACACCACAGAAGCACGAACGACAATGATGAGAGTTCAAGCATTTCACAGAAGTACGGTCGATGTTGATGGGTGTTTACTAAACGCCGATCAGACAGCCCTTTGAATAGCGAGGGGCCGTTGTAACCCTTACACTCACACGCACTCGCTCGTTGCAATAAAGCTTAGTGTTCCTTGTTAGTGAGTCTTTTTCCGGCACAGGATCGGGGACAGCAGTCAGATGTGACAGACAGCTAATTACCAAATCTGAAAACTTTGTAAGGACGAAAACGTTTACGCTGCCCGACGTCGAAGGAAACGACCATTAATTTCCCGAGAACGTGGGAGGATAAGTGAACCTAACATACAACCGCACAGTGCATGAATGCTACTCGGAAAAGACAACAACTTCGCTAATAGTGATACGCACCCCAAACGCCAATAAAAGCACATACCTTGGGAGAGTAAATGTATATGCGCTTGGAATTGGCCACCGCAATCTGGCAAACACAAAGAAAGTAAAAATCAGTTGTAGAAATTCGTAGCACTGGATCAACTTAATCCCTCGAATCAGAACGTCGAGAGCAGACCGATGGCGAGATGTTAACTAAGCCTTTATTTTCACCAATATCCCCAAAAACAGTGTTGAAGAAATGTGTACAGCGCACGTCCCACCTGGAAAAGTTTAACGCCCCATTGCCTGAAAGATACTTGTGAAGTTTGTTGGATTATTGATTTGAAAGCTGTTTCGGTTTTTTTGCACTGAGAACATTTGTTTTGATTTGAGGAGCGTTGCACATATGTAGACTGACTGAGCTTCCAAAAGCAACCCTTCAGGCCCTACATTTGGAAGCCTTTTTCTAACCATAACAGAAGTAATATTTCGATTCAGGCTGACGACACTATTTCTTACCTCTGGATAAGAATTTGGTTCACTTTTCAAGTTTCCTGATAATGCTGGCCCCAATTTATCTGCGTTACGAACGAGAGTACAAGGACAATTTCACTTTCTACACATTATGCTGAAAAGATATCCGAACAATGGGTTATCCTGCGTTTTCTACGTCAAATGGCATCCATCTTTAGGGCTCCACTCTGGTGGCTTATAAGTGACCCGGTAAGAACTCTATCCTGACGATCGAAAGTTAATTCATCCCTAAGATCTTCCGCAAGAAAATGGAGCGTTTGCAACGACTTTTTGGGGAAATACAGGTACATAGCCTCACAATCCAAGTATTCCAACAGATTTCTTTCCAATTTCTGTTTAAAACTTATCCAATATTCGACAATATCATGCAAAACCTAGCAGAAGCTACGACTACGAACGTCCCACCGATCGCTCTGCCTTACATGTCACTTCTTAATTCATGGGATAGAGAGACGGACACACAGAATGGGTCACGTGATCGGACACTTTCCAAAATATTATACATGATTCAAAGGATTAAAATCATCTAGCCACCAACCGATCACTCGGGTAGCCAGTGGTCTTTTGATTCAAGTCAAGCAGCTACCCCTAGTTAGCTTGTCACAATGTTGGTAGGCGACTAAGCACGCTGAATACTGGCTTTCAAAGAAGCAATGTTGAGTAGGAGTTGAGTTGTGGACACAAAGTTCTGACCCACATCTGTCTGACATTCGGGACTAATCCTTACACTTTTGTACGCTGTACGCATTTTTCACCGTCGAACTGATTGGAACAAACGGAACTTTGAAACTTTGCCACTTGTATGTTCTCGCCGTTCTGATTCGACGAAACCTGATAAGTAATTCTCAGTACCTTCCCGTCGTAGGGACTGCAGCTGACTGCCTGTACAATCAGGCCATCCAGCTTATCCCATGGAATGATCTGCACACGAATAAAGCATTCGTTCAGAATGACGACATCGCATCCGCTCGCGTAAGCCTATGGTAATAGAAAGATTACTCATAACGGAGGAAGAGAGAACATACAACAAAGTTGATTCCGCTAACAACACCATGGGAGGCGTGGTTGTGAGTTGCATTACACGAGCCGGTCAACACCTGATGAAGCCTCATCGTTGTAATATCACCAAGAGTATGGAATGCGTAAACGCTGCACGTGAGGCATGATTTGTCTGTACAAAATTGCGCGGATCTGAAAAGAGGACAAAATAATGACTGTGAGTCAAACTACTGGGTTAGCGGGCACTATAAACTTCTTCATATCCGTTGTAATTGTCTCTGTACGAAGGTTGTGACCTTTACCAGTTTTATCAGATTACTCCTTCTATTTCAGTGTGCAGGGCTTTCCTACAGACCTAAAAATAATTTGGAAACTTCAGTTCTTTGTCCGGCGACACGCGACTTCGCTAAAACACATCAAGGCAATATAAAGCACGCGAAACGCAAGTATTTATGACCAAAGAAGACAGAGGAGGATGAGCGGATAAGAGAAAAATGACATTAAGTGTACGGAAGGTAAAGTATTCATTCGGGTAACTGCATGAGTTCATTGTAACCGGGCTACCAACACTTCAGCCAAGCGCTGCCATGTACAATGAGAAATCATATACCCTAAAGACCTCAAGAATTTGTGTAAACTGTTGCAGAGCATTCGCCTAACGTGGAGACAATCACCCCCGTACAAAAGCAACGCCTCGTTAAGAGTCAGATAGATCGTTTCCAAGATGGCACCCTTGATAGAAAAATGGCTCATGACATACTCAAGTTCAAAACAATGGCTGGGTTGTTGAACTTTCGTTCAACGAAACACTCTCAACCGAACAGACCACATTATCATTGACTGCCGATGACGTTGCCTATGCCTGCATCTGAAATGTCCGTGTAGACTCCGATTATACACTTGTCAGTTAACGTTCTTCACTGCGCTTCTCAAGTTTGTGAAAAATACTCACACCCTTTCCGATCATTGGATCGCGCTCAGTGGCTAAGGCGCGAATTGACTGGGAATGGAAAGGTCACTACAGCTGAACGATTATGATTTATTTACAACCGCCGGAAATTTCATCGAACCCAAAATCAAGCATACGTTCTAAAGGTGCCCTCCCCAACGTCTATATGGCGAACAGATTCCGGATATAAACTAACTCTGTCTAGGCTTGGGCAACCTGAGAGTATCTCAGTCCTCATACGTCCCGCGGGCAAAATGGCAGCTGGGCACCAAAAAGGCATTGCAGCGGAACCACCACCATCACTCGGGCGAAATATCCAAAATTGTCGCTGGAGATTCTGTCCACGACAAAACCCGGACGGTCTCTTTTAAAACATAAGAATGTAAGATCGTGGACTTTCTGTGGGTAAAGAGGCAGGTTTCTACCAGCGGTAGACAAAATCCACCTCGATGCACCATCTAACACCAAATGGTTCCAGCTGATTCGTAAACTTGAAAGCCTGTCAATGAAACCCTCAAGTGTCGTGGTGACTCTCCGATACCCAGCAAACCGTTCGGAAGAATACTTCTGACATTAGTTCAATCGACGACTTGAAAACTCTCATCCGGACTGTCGGTATGTAGCAGAAACGTAAGTTGTAAAGAAAGAAATCTTTTCAGCCTCAAGTGTATCAGTGAATCTCCAAACCGAAGTGGCACCGAGCTCCCAGCCCAGAAAAGCTCATACCCATTCCGCTCAAAGACGTTGGCCAATGCCTTAGTGTCGTTCATTTGCATCATCATGGGACAAGGACATTCCTGGACAATGGTGGGCGAGTTAATAACAGCGCCTGTCTTCGAAAAAGAGTGAATGCGGTAACAGCGGCGTCAGTGGTGCTCCGTTACCTCACAGCAGCATGCGAAAACTTGACCCGCGACCAACAAGCGAGATTTCGCCTAGAATCGTCCACACTAGCTTGTTTAGGCTCGAGACTGAACAGTTCACGTCAACTCTGCTTTTCAGCTACTAGTAAGCTATTAGTAAGTTCCCACTGAGAACAACGGATGGTATTCTACCAAAATGTTGTTCAATTACCCCCCTTATTCACCTTGTATGGATCTCATAGTCACAAACATGCCTGTCATATATCATCATCATCATCAATGACAGCAACATCAGTGTTGGCACTGATGCTTCACTGCCGTACAACCATAAAGTTCGTTTAGTTTATATATATATATATATATAT